TATATATATATATATATATATATATATATATATATATATATGTATATATACATTGGCGTAGGAAGGTTTTTTAAACGTTTGAAATAATCAACTTATAAACAACAAGAACATTTCAAGTTTGTTTACGTTCATATGTATGACGAAAAGAATCTTTTGAAAAAAAAATTACTATGATAGGAGAATGGAAACAAGAAACCCTAAAATCTTAACCCCCCCTGCCCTAAAAGTGAAAGCAACAAATTTATGAAATATTTTTTGTACTATTTTCAACTAGACTTAAATTCATCGAGAAATTTTAAATTTCATAGTAAATAAGTGTTCAAAAATTATGAACATATAAAATTTAAACACCCCTCAATTTGAGGAGGGGTCGCAAACTTTATATGAAAAATAAAGCTATGAAGGCCACTACAATAGTGGAGGCTGTTTTAGTTGTGGTTACAACGCCTCTTTTAACTTTATAACTACGAAACGCGAACTTTGACAAATAAAGGCAGCTGCGCGGGTGAATAAACTGAGTGCGGTAATACCAAGGACGTGTTGAGGATCGAGATCGGTACTTTGTGCTTATGAGGCGAGCGTTCTACCATTACACCACTAGCGCATTTTAATTGTATTAATTTTTATTTTTTTACTTCAAGATTAAATAATACACTTATGGAAGAATATAGATAAATGTTAAAAAAACTGGAAGTTGCTCTTAATAAATTAAAGTAAAATAAAAGTAGAGATTTTATATTTGATGGTATTGAGTTTTCATTATTTTATATCTTTAAACTTTCTTTTATTACCTTATAATACCTGCTATATTGTTCCTAATAAGTTAAAAAATTACCCGAATTAAATCAAATTTTAAAGTTAGGGATGACTTTATCACCTCAAAACTACTGACCAGTTTCTATCTTGTCTTGTTTCTCCAAATTACTTGAACTTAAATTGCATAACAGACTGATTAATTAAAAAAAAGCCAAAAGTTGTATAAAAAAACATTTCGGTTTCATATAGTTTTCGATTAAAAGCAATAATCTAAAAGTCAATGACATATTTGAAGCTTCGAATAATGGTTATTTCACATTTTCATCATCTGTCAAAAGCCTACAAGATCTATCTATCAAAATCCTTTGATACCATAAACTTTGATATCTTTTGATGCCGCTTTAAAAAGTCAAAAAAGTGCCACTTTACAGGGCTGCAGAGCGTGGTATATTTGGTTAAAGTTAGGACAAACACAGAATTTTGCTCTTATTTTCATGCGCTGACTTTACAACTTTGTAAGTCAGATAATCACGTGATTGTCAAAGATAGTCACGCAAATATAACTTATCTTAATCATTTTCCATGGTTTCACATGGTTTGGAGTAATTCAGTTAAGACCTAAAAACAAGACCTAAAAAGCAGCCGTGGCGCAGTGGTTAGAGTTCTGGCTCAGAACCCAGAGGTCCGAGGATCGATGCCAGCTCCAGCCCAACAAGCAACATTGGCACGGAAGGAGGCGTGAATTTCCTGTTAAATGCTCTCCCGCGGTGTTCTGTGATAAGACCGTAAGGACTTCTGGGAGCACCTAAATAACTACAAAAAAAAAAAAAAAAAAAAAAATATGGTGGTGATTACCCATTTTATTTAGGTTTTAAATAGTAGAGTAGAGTTAGTTTTTATTTTTATTTCTTTAATCAGTAATTTTTTAGCTTTTCATTTTTTATTTTATTGTTTTATGAAAAAAGACGAAACTCTAGGCTATCCGAAAAATAACAATAACAAAACTATTTAGTTATTTAATAAAATAAAAATAATCTCCGTTCATTTGTTTAGTACAGAATGAAGTGTGTGAAAGCACTTCTGGTTGTATATTCACTAGATTGATTTTACATTTTATAAATTAAACACTTAAAATGTTATTTTTATTGATTTACCTGAAAATAAAAAGTCTGAAATAAGTTTAACAATTATATTGACATTATCTTTTTGAAAGAGTTATAAATTATATACTTCGATTAATTTGTTCCTAAGAATTAGCTGGTGTGAGGTTACTAATATGGGCGGCCGTGGCGTAGTGGTTAGCTGGTGTGAGGTTACCAAATATGTGCGACCGTGGCGCAGTGGTTAACTGGCGTGACTAATATATTTTAAATCATTATTAATCTCCCAGTGGGCATTTCGACGTCGAACGAACGTCGAGCGACGTCGGATCTCGACGTCGGATCGACGTTGGGTTTACGTTGGAAATGGAAATGTTATTTGACGTCGGATAAACTGACATCGCGCGACGTCGGCATTCCGATGTAAATCCAACGTGTTTTTTGAAAACTAAAAAACGCTGCCTTTGGCAGGAATCGAACCTCGGGCTATTAGTTTCTAAAACCTGTGCGCTTACCACTACACCACAAGGACATATTGATTGATGAGTTTAATTAAAAATTTATACTTGTAGCTATTTGGAAATTATTACTTTGATAAGAAATAATTTTGTTTAAATATTATATAAATATTAAAACGAATAGTTATATATTATAAAAAATGTATACTCGAAAATATTAATAGTTAAAAAACTATGCTAGTGCATCATACAAAACCTCTTGATGTTTTATCAACCTTTATTCAAACTTTTTTCCATTAATAAAAAAACACGCTTAGTTCACATAATTATTGAAGAGCGCAATTGCACACATATTGTTGGGTTTGGATTAAATTTTCATCAGCGATGTCTTACGACGTTGTTCCGACGTCGTTTTAAGGACGTTGGATTGACGTCGGAAGACGTCAAAAGACATCGGAGTACGTTTATATTATGACGTTGCCCGACGTCTTTTTATCGACGTTGGATCGATGTCAGTACTGCGACGTTTTTTGGACGTCTTTTATAAGATGTCGGAACAACGTCAAAATACATCGAAACGACGTCAGGGGATGTTGAGATAAAGACATCGCCCGACGTCATTTTACTGACATCGGAACAACGTCGGAATAGGTCTTTTGACATCGCTGATGAAAATCAAACGTAAATCCGACGTCGGATTGACGTCGGGTGCCCACTGGGCTTATAATATTTTAATAATCTCCCCTTTCTTTTCCTTCCTTTATGCATTATACACACATGTTTTTTTACATTGAGTATTTTCTTAATTGCAATTACCAATTGTTGCTGGTGTATTACCATGCATCCCTTCTCATAGACATGGTTGCTGGTGTATTTTCCTATGCGATATAAACATAATAAATAAATTAAAAACAAAGTAATACATTTTGCAATAAAAGATTAAAAAAAAAAAACTCAAAAGACTTCACTAACTCCATTTTTTTGAAAAACTTTCAAATATTTAAATAATGCTTTTACTTATGTATTAAAGTTTTATGAAACCTGAAATCTTTATTAATTGAAGCATCTTGTGGTAATAATGTGTAAGTGCTTGCAGATCTAATTAAAACATTTTGTGGTAATAATGTTGCAGATGTAACTGAAACAGTTATCCTGTATTAATAAAGTCGCAGATGTAATTGAACAAGTTATCCAGTGGTATTAAAGTTGCAGATGTACTTGAAACAGTAATCCTATGGTAATAACAATGACATTGATAACGTTGCAGATATAAATAATTTTTTTTGTTTAGACACATCATTCCTTAAAAGATTGTGAATTTTTGTGAAGATTGCAATATTTGCTGACAGTTACACGGTTGAGCGATTGCGTAGGAAATATTACACAAGACTTTTTTTGCGTATGACAAATACTGTTGGCATTGAACTTAATGGTTAAATGCAATTCGGTGGAGATAAGACCGTAAGTACTTCTTGGAGCTCTGTGATAAGACCGTAAGTACTTCTTAGAGCACCTAAATATTAAAAAAAAAAAAAAAAAAGTAAAATTAAAAAATTAAAAAAAAAAATTTACATAAGCTCATGAGTAAATTTAGTAGTTTTAAAGTTTTTTCAAAACATTTTTTTGGTGCGTGGATTTACACAAATTTTTCAATAATAAAAAGAGAATATAACCTGTTAAAGCTATAAAGTTATATTTTGGATTTGTTTGAAGGAGATTGCCAAAAGCCCACCAAACTCGTCACCCTGGTTCAGCACAAATAAGTTGTGAGGGAAATTGAGGGAAAACGAGCAAATATTTATTTATTGCTCAATTTGGCTTACAAAGCTGCTTAAATAATATTAAAATAGCAGTAATTTTTATTTTTTTTTGTCCAAAATAGAAAATGTTGCAGTGCATCCCACTCGACTGCCGAGCATCTCAACTGCGTTCTATCAACCTTTTGTTGCGGATTGTGTTACCAAAAATGTCATACATGTCTGTTGTACATGTCTGTTGTACACGTCTGTCGTACATGTCTGCCGTACATGTCTGTCATACATGTCTGTCAATATTATAATACAGCCATGTAATAATATATTTATGCGTACACAGTATTTTTCCCGTTTTTGATTATCTAATCGTTTATTATATGTGACTCTGATGCTAATGCTACCATGAGATTTTGTAAAGCTAAGTTTTCACAAAATTGGAAAATTATTGAATTTATGAAATAAAAAGTTGTATTAAATTGTAAATCAAATTAGATACAGAATTAATTTTTTTTTTTTTTTTTTAAATTCAGAAAATTAAATTCAGAAAGCGTGACCGTCCTTCAGGGAAAAATCTTTTAAGGGTACAAGACACCAACATCAGATGCAAATGAACAGATGCATCACCCTCTTCTCTTCCTTAAAGATCTCTTTGGAACTGCCATGTACCCTTCAGAAAGGTGAGCTAAACACTGTAGCATTCATACCTTTGTTTAAACAATTTTTAAAATATTAAAAAACAATCGCATATTTAATACAATTGTTTTTTATATCAGTAATGCAACATCTTATGCTGGTTATACAAAAAAAAAAACAAAAAAAAAACATATGTATATATATATATATATATATATATATATATATATATATATATATATATATATATATATATATATATATATATATATATATATATATATATATATATATATATATATATATATATATATATATATATATATATATATATATATATATATATATATATATATATATATACTTGCTTGTTGAAAAGTAAAAAATATTTAATAAATATATATTTTTGTTGACATCTTTTAAACTTTGAGAAAAAAAAAACTTATTTTTTTAGCTTAAGTGTTTACTTGAAGGTCGGTCAAGTCGTTAAAAAAGATTAACTATTTCCCGTATTCCCACAAGCTGAAGCGCTTTTTTTTTTCTTTCAATGCGACACAAATGCAGGTGTAAGAACTGTTCTATCAAAAATTAAAAACAATAAAATCTTTTAGCAAAAAAAATTTGTTTTTGATCTGAAAAACAATTATAAAAATGATTGCTTTTTGATAGTTTCATTAATGTTTCCAAAATTAACGATTTTTTTGCTTTTTTCTTTTCTTTTTTTTTCTTTTTTTCTTTTAACACAGTAATAAAATATTAATTGTGAAAATTCAATAAACGTTTTTGTAACACAATATTTTTCGAAGAATAATCAACAAATAAGTCTAAGAATCGTTTTTTTGAGTCGAAAGATACTTTTGAATACAAGAATTGAGTTAAAATACTGAATTAATGCATTAAAATATAAATAAATAAAAACTAAAAAAAGTACTTTTTATTAACGAATCTCTGCGGTTAAAATAAATTTCGTGCTTAACAATACTCCAACCGCAATTTCTCAAAATAACAAATTTTAAAACGTAATAACAATTTTTCTATTCCGAATAAAATGTGCTTGACTTTCCCAAGAAATTAGCGTGTTTTTCAACAAAAAAAAATACGCAAGTCATTACAAAGCACGCTAGGCAATTAGCTTAGCATTAATAATTAACAAAAACTTATTAAACAAGTTTTACTTTAAAATCTAAAAAAAACTCTAAACAGAACTTCTTGTCTTTTCTTGGAAAACCAATGCAAAAAACCTTTGTAAAAGTTCAAAATATTAAGCGATATTATACACGTGCAACTTAAAAAAAGGTCTGGGTTTAAATGTTTTGTATACACCTGGGTCTTCAACTATGGACAATATTGAAATTATTTCTTTATCTTCTTTTGTTCGCGCTTTTTTCAATATTGAAATTTTTTGATTGGTTGTTTGTTTAAAACGAGATAAAGAAACACAAAAGAAAAGCCAAAAGTCACAATTTCTTTAAGTTTGCGCCTAGCGAAGCCGCTTTCTGCAACGAGGGTATTTATACTAGTAGTATTGAATGCGCTGGAAATTTTTTATATTATTTACTTGTTCTATATGCTAAAGATATACAAAAACATACATATATATATGTTGAGGACATATATATATATAAACAATCGAGGGAGTTGATAGTCACATATTCTGCAATGAAGCTTTGCGTATTGAATACGAGTTTGCTCTTATGTGTAGAAGCATTTTCAGTTATTTTCGCTATAACAATTTCATTGAAAGGAAAAGAACGAATCGAATATAATTTAGGATACGAACGAATGCAAACAGACTCAATAAATTTAATTTTCAAATTCAGAACAATAGACCCTTCAGGGCTGATATTTTACGGAACAAATTTGTTGAGGGGAGATTTTATTTGTCTGGAATTAATAAATGGCGAGTTGAGGTAAGATCTTATAATGCATTATCTTATTCTTATGTCGCAATATTTTGTGCAATATCTTGACACAAATTACCAATAAACTTTTTTGTTTGCAATTTGTAAGTGACGTAATGTCAATTAAATTTTATCCAAAAAATGCTAAGACACACACTAATACAAAAAGTAGGGGATGAAAAAAATAATTTTTTAAAATAGTTTTTTAAAACTTTTTCTTCGCTTATTTAATATTTAATCCCGTTATAATATAGTTTCACAGAACGGATACTCCCCCTTTATTTTTAACTCCCCCTTATATGTGACCAAATTAGAGTTTTCCTATAAATCAATACCTTATATTATTCAATTTAGGATAAATTTGTTAAAAGGCTGCTAAAAGTTTAGTTTGCAAAAGAAGCATTCTTAATAAAATTGTTTATATAGAAATGTGAAAATTAGAAAAAACGACAAAAATTACAAAAACGCTTTTTCAAAATTTACACGACAACAAAACAGCTGTGTCAACATATATGTGTTGAAACGAAATCTACAACGGAAACTTCGTTTGATAAAATATTACACAATAAATTAAACTTGACTTTTTTCTCAATATTTTTGGTGTGAGTTTTCCATTAACAATAAAGCATAAAATATAATTAAGTTCTGTTATGAAAACCATATATATTTTTTCGATACTTGTTTTTAAAGAAGTTGTTTACTTCTCCTCCGGTTTGCTTAATGAGTTTGTTTACCGCTGACGTCAAATGCAACCTCTCAAAAATTTAAACAAAAAGGAAAATTAAATGTTGTGCATGATTTCAAAAAATTTATTGTAGTGTGTGTAAACTTTTGTTTTTTAAATCAATGAGATTGTTATCAAACGTAAAAATACGATTTTATTTAATTTGCTTCTTTTTATGCACAACAGAAAGAAAAACTGTTAAAATTGTAAATAAAAATGATAAATACATTAAAATCACTTTTAAATAAATCATTGAAAGCTAATTGGGCTCAAAACAAATATTTGTGTGTATATGTATATATATTTATATAAAAAAATTCAATTTTATAAAAAAAAAGCATTTAAAATAAAAAAGAAACAGTAAAAAAGAACACACAGCAGCTCCCAGCGTGAATGGGTGGGTTTAAAGAAAACTGCAATATAATATTTTACTTTTATTATTTTTATTGATTCTATTGATTCTATTTTTATTAATTACATTTTTTTTTTGATTCCACTAGAATGCAAATTATTCTACATTTTTTAATTTAAATTTGATTTTTTTCTCTCATAAATTCTAATATTTGAAATTTACAACAAAATACTTTAAACAATAAATAAAAAACTTAGTTATGTTTTCTATTAAATATTTAGGAATAAATTAATTATAATGTAATAAAATACTGTAAAGAAAAATATCAAATCGAATCTTCTTTTTTTAACTTCTATTGATCTAATTGCATTGTTTCCTTTATATCTTCTATTTTGAATATTTTTCGAATATTTATCGGTGGATTTGAAAGACCTACGGTCATCTATTTATTCATTAGTTATTAAATGGTTTAAGTTGCCATTTAAAAACTTTATTTTCACAAAGACATCACAATTTTTTTCACAACAAACCCAATTTAGGTGATTTAGGCAAAGAACGTCCAGAGCTGTTTTTTATGAAAGCCTTTTTATCAATATCATTGTCAAATACCAATGGTATTGTAAAATACAATAATATTACTTATAATATTCCTAAATACGATTTGGGAACATTTTTAGGACTTCAGACTTTTTAGGCTGATAAAAGAGTAGGGAGATCACAAATCTGAAATCACACATGCTTCAGTCACGTGTTTGAGAAAAACTACTTAAATTATTTAAAACATTTAATTTGTTTTGGAACGATTAAATTTGGTCGCCTAAAAATTCCTAAAAAAGTTGACTACAACAACAAAATTTGTGAAAGCTGTCATTTAAAAATAAAAAAATTTTAGTAGAAAAAATAAAAATAAAAATTGTAGTTTTTAAATTAAAAGTTATAAAATATATAAATATATATAAAAGTTATAACTTTATTGTTTTTTTCAAAACACGATTATTATTTTTTTTTTTAATAGGTATATGAATGAAAACAATATTTTGAAAACCAGTCCATTGCTTGATTTCCACATTTTCAACGAGTTTTATGAATTTTATGATTTTTTAATCAAAAAAGTTTTAATTTAAAAAGTATTTATATAAAATATTTATATTTAATATTAAGGCGTACTATGGTATGTCTAGCTAATATACTTAACATGTTTAATATTTACTTGTACAAAGCAGTGCCGGATCAAGCAGGGGGGCTAGGGGGCTATAGCCCCGGGCCCCTCAACTTTAGGGGCCCCCAAAAATTTTAGAGGACCTTTTTTTTTTTAAAGTCATATTCAGGCTTTGGCCCATAAAAAGGTCTCCAAAAACAAAAATAGCCCCGGGCCCCAAGAAGTCTTAATCCGACACTGGTACAAAGTTTGCTTACTTTTTCAATTGATGCAAGTATTTATTATTTTTTCAATTGATGCAAGTATGTATTATTTCGAGCAGCTGTGGCGCAGTGGTTAGAGTTCTGGCTCAGAACCCAGAGGTCCTAGGTTCGACGCCAGCTCTAGCCCAACCAGCGACATTGGTATGGAAGGAGGCGTGAACTTCCTGTCAAATGCTCTCCCGCGGTACTCTATGATAAGACCGTAAGGACTTCTGGGAGCACCTAAATACATACAAAAAAAAAAAGTATTTATTTATCTTGAGAAAAATTGAAAAAAAAAAAAATTAAAATTTTAAACTCGTCTCTCCGCATAATGAGTAAATTTAATTAGATTAATAAAAAAAAAGTTAATTTATTCATGTAATATTTAATTGAGCTTCATACTTTTGTATGTAATAGGATACATTGTCGTAATAGGGTACAGCACACTTTAAAAATTTTTGATTTTTAATTCGGGGGATAATTTTTATGATGCCACTATATGTAAATATTAACTTCCAAAAAAAATTAAAAAAAATATAGGCGGGATTGCCTAGGTAAAAAATTTTTACCTAGGCACGTTTTCGAAAACTGCCATCCAGCCTAGGTAAGAGATTTTTTTATTTTATTTTTTTTTTGGAATTTTTTATGGTGCCACTATATTTACATATAGTGGCATCATAAAAATTATCCTCCGAATTAAAAATCAAAAATTTTAAAAGTATGATGTACCCTATTATGACAATGTACCTTATTACATACAAAAGTATGATGTACCCTATTGAGCATAGTTTAACCTATGTAAAACTTGTCTTGTTAAGATATTATTTTTTTTAGTGAGAACATATCTATATACGATATTATGTATATATTTTAGAATATAAAGTTATTGAATAAATAATCAATTTGTTTCGTTATTATATAGAAGTCATTTCATCATCGTTTCGTTGTTATATAGAAGTCAGTTCATCACATGTACTAAAGTTTATTAGACGTTTTAAGTTCGTCGTATATACTAAGTTTTTCAAGAAAGTTCTTAAAAGGGCCACAAAGAGATTTTTGTTATTGAAAAAAAATCTATTAAATATTTAAATCCGCAAAAAGTAAATTTTTTTTTTTACTTTTTGGACATTTAACCGTTTAAACAGTAAACCATGTAACCGTTTAAACTAAAAACTATTAAATCTTACTAAAAATAAGCGATGACATCATAGTTTTTTTTTTTGCTAAAATAATATGTATAAAGTAAATGTACATTAAATATATTTAGACTCATAAAAAATCACAAATCCTTATCATGATGCTGTTTACAATCTCTATGACAACAAAAATACAACATTCTTTATAATCTATATAATAAAGTAAAAATGAAAATAATTAAATTGCTAAAAATAGATAAATCTATTTTGTGTTAAAAAGATAATTTTTTTTTTCATTTTCCTTATAAAGAAAAATAGGTCCATTTAAAAGAAAAATCATAATTTGGTAAAACATTTTTAATCCAAAGAAAAGGGCTATGATAAGAAATAAAAAACATTTTTAGTTTGGCAAAATGGCTCTCGGACATTTTTTTACCAAAACGAAGGTTATATTTGTTTATGGGTTTCATATTAGATATTTATAAATGTATGCATTTTCTTTAAATTTATACTATTAAAATATTAAAATATATAGCATTAAAAATATTTAAACATAAAATATTGAAAACATTTTATTCGAAACTTATTTCTTTACGAAGTAGTGTTTTTTACAAAAATTTGCGAAATTAATTGTACAAGTTGCGTGCTTCTGAAATCGATAGAGAGATTTAACATTGGTCTTTTGAGTACTTCCCCATTAAATATTTGCATAATTTATGTGGCAATCAATCAATAAATAATATAGTTGTTTATTTAATATGTCTAACTTTGTAGTAATTTTCAAATTTTCATCATGGAAAATTCATGGTATTTACGCATGAAATTTTAAATTTTCTTTTTTTAAAGGTTGAATAACAAAGTAATTATTTTTATTTATCAGTATCAAATTAATTTCTTTTTTCAGTTCAGTCATCTTGTTAAAATATACGTTAGTGTGACTGGAATCAGAGGCGATTTTACGGTGTGCGCGCGCGTGTGTGGTGGTGGTGGTGGGTTACATTCCCCCTAAGAAGGCGATTTTCAAGTTATAAGCACTTTTTAATGATTCACCCCGCCCCCGCCCCCTCATTTTATTTGTAGAATCGCCTCTGACTAGAATAAATTCGTACCATCCGCAAAATTATGATAGATAAATCAGAAACTTTGAAAAAACAATTACATGTTAGGCACCGCATGTTATATTCGTTAACAGTTTCGATGAAGATACCTTGTTTACGGTTGTTAATACAGGTTTTGAACCAATGCATCTATCACGACAAAATTTTTGAGTCAATTTATCTATTATGACAAAATTTTAAAACCAATTCATCTACCATGACAAAATTTTGCACAAATTTAGAGATTTTTCTCTTACCATAGCTTTCCAGCTTTTTAATAGTTAAATAAAATATGGTGATTAACAAATAATATTGGAGAGTAGTGTGTTCATTAGAACTGTTTTCCTGAAAATCAGTTGATCTTTATAAAAAAAGTAATTTATTCATAAAATAAGTGTACATGCTGTTATACAGCATGTACACTTATACTCTTTCTAATATTTTTGAGGAGACTGGTAGAACTGAGACAAAAATTATTTATGTATTTATGATTATCTGTTTTAAAGATTGGAGTTAATTTTGCTATTTTCAAATAAAAAAATTTGTTATTTTTTTCTATTTTCAAGTTTGTGAAAGATACTTGGACATCTTTAATCAAATCAAGAGGCAATTACAATTTCCCATTAATATCATCAGACCCATTATAAGATTTGAAAAATTTAGAGTTTAATTTATTGATAACATAACAAAAGTTAAAATAAGAAATGTGATGAGACATAAAATAAGCAAACAACGTTAAAAAAAGACTTTTTCTACAGTATGGTTCCTAAGTACAATTTTTAAATGTCAAACTGGTTTTAGCAAGTCAAGAAAGTAAATAAACTGGTTTTAGTCAAGAACTAAGACTTTTGGCAAGTAAAGAATTAAATCTCCAGTGTGATCATTTGCTAATTGATATGAGCATATTTTTTTGTATTAGCACACTGAAGAATTAAATCTTCAGTGTGCTAATACAAATTGATATAAGCATATTTTTTTTAACTTGTTGACATAATATATTTTTTAGTTTTATCTAATGCATATTTCATCTTGTTTATAACTAATTCCGCTTTGCATCTAACTTTGTCCGATTTCTTGGAAAATTCTGATCCATGGTATGGATCTCACTGTTATGTTAAATAGTTCCAAAACCAAAAGCTCTTTTTTTTGACTTTTTTTTACTACAACAATGTTCTTTACCGAACATTGGCTCTAATGAAAAGATATACGACCTGCTTAAAATCAAAAAACGGACCGATAATACTAAAAAATTATGGCTAAAAAAATTATTTTAAATATGAACAAAATAACAATTATTTTAGAAGTTATTATAAAGGTATTGACTGAGAATAATAATTAAAAAGAATTTTTTTAAAAGTTATATTTTAAAATAAATATTAAATAAGTTTTATTCTAGTAATCCCTCCCTCCCCTTCTTTTCCTTCGTCATAGGGAGGCGAATATAGTGAGAAAAAAAAAGGTATTCTGCAACGCTATAAAAATTTTATAATTTTTTGTGAATTCATCTTGACAAATTCATTAAACTTTTTAAACCTTTGAAGTGATTATTGACAAAAAAGTTGTCAGATAGGGAAGAGAAGGGTATTGACAAACAGGTAAGCGAGAACGCAAAATAAAGGTACGAGTTATACGAAATTTATCATATTTATTGGTTTACAATTAGTCTAAATATTCAGTCACAAATCCTCAAAAGCAATTTTTATAAATCTTATTATGAAATAAAAATTTAGGGTAAAAATAAAATCATGAGTGTTCAGAATTACCCTACGTATGTGGGGTAATCACAAGCATTGTTGTGTAATAACGAACAAAATGCTAATTGTAATAGCTAAGTTCAAAAGTTATTTTACTATGCAACAACAATAAAAGAAGGAGGGGTTTTATATCCATAATAGCTACAACAGGAATGTTACTCAAAAAAAAAGTTGCATGAAGTTATAAGAAAAAGTTAGCATCAAATTATCGTAAACAATAATTGCAGCTTCATCACACTACTGCACGTCTGGAACTGAGGATAGGATTCCCTTTTAGCAGGTAAAAAGAAACTGTCAAATATATTTTTTTATTATGCTATTTTGATCATGTTTGGTGTTAACTTGTTCTCATTCTTCTCATTCTCAAAGATTCAGCGAATGTTTTAAAAGTTAAAAATCACTTTTCTTTTAATTTCATGGTTATTTATATTAGAGTTTAACATTGCCCACGGAAATGTAAAAGTATGACATCTTGTTTACTTTATGTACCATAACTTAAAACATCAGAAAGTACGGGTTTTTTTATCACCAAAAGTTTTAGAAATTTTCCCTGAATTATAGACACCAGCATTATTAGCTAATTAGATGTTTACAATAATTTTCAAACATTACTAACTGTAACGTTAATTATATTGAAACTGTAATTTTTATAAAATTGTTATTCTTGACGTCAGTGGTTGAATGGCATTAAGTTTAAAAATAGCTAGCAAAGCTTTGTTTTGACATTAAAATTAATATCACCGTTTTCAAGCTAAACATTAAGAGTGTGTGTGTGCGCGCGCTCTGCTAGAAATGGTTTAATTTTAATGATGGCCAACATTCCAATAAACAAATTCATAATCACGATATAGAACTTAAAAGAATTTTCGACGAAACGTTAACAATAAGCATGTCTATAATATATATTAATATTAAGCACAACCATCCAACGACCCAGTGGCGTCGCTAAAGTTAGTGTCACCCAGAGCGGTAAATTTTTGGTTTCACTCCTCTAGACTAACAGGTCAAAGGTGAAACTAAAAAAATTTTTGTATATCTTTTTTTATTTATATAAAAAAAAAGATCCCTAAAAAGAAAAATTTTGGCATATTTGCTTTTTATTTATTTTAGTGTCACCCCGCTGAGTCACCTCATGATGGTGTCATCCGGTGCGGCGTGCACCCCCATTGCAACGCCACTGCAACAGTCATTGTTGCCATCCAACGGCCTATTGTTGCGCTTTTTAATTTTTTTTAATTAAATTTTTAAACCCTTCTAATAAACACAATTGGTCTTTAAAACGTTTAAACAAAGTTTTTTAGACGTCAAGACGTGTTTTACATCGCTTTAATGCGTCTTTTACACGCTATGTGTTTACTGGGTTGATACCCTGTTGAAGCTGTTTATAAATTTTTTACGTGCGGAAGTAAAAGTATACAAAGTGACAATAACGAGGGGGAAGTAGAGGTTTTTTTATCTTATAGCAAAATTGGATTAGAGAACAGTCGAAAGTTGTCCGAGGATCAAATGGTCTATAATATGCGTGACGCAATTTATAAACAGCTTCATGAATTCTTTAATTGTATTAAATAAGATTTAGTATTTGTTTTAATCTTTCTTTTTTAGATACACTTCTAAAATAGGTTTCGATGATAAATCCGACCAAAAACTAGTTGTTGGAAACAATTTAAACACATACGAATGGCATCGTGTAAATCTAACAAGAGTTGGAAGAAATGTATCAATAATTCTTGATAACGTAAAAAATGAAAGATATTTCGATGGTGATTTCGAAAAAATTATACTTGGTGGGAGGGTTTATTTTGGAGGAGTGAGTGAGCAGGTTGATCTCTCCTTACATCAGCTAACAACAAGGAAATTTTCTGGTTGTCTACAAAATCTTATGTTTAATAACATTGATATATTTTATAATGCAAAATATAGCGAAGAAAAATTTCAAACTTTTGGCGATATTCTTTGGGATAGATGTGAAGATATTGATTATGATCCAGTCATGTTTCAAAGTCAACAAGATCATGCGCTTATTCCAACATTTATTAAAGACAGTCTTAATGTTGTTTTAAATTTTCGTACTGCAATTAAGAACGGTCTAATATTTTTTAAACCATCGAAAGCTCTGTGCGTCTATTTAGCCTTAAAAGATGGAGTTCTTACATTAGAAGTTGATTTTGCAAAAAGAAACGAAAACCCAATATTGATTAAGTTAGGAAAAGATTTTAATGACGGTTTTTGGCATCGAGTTGAATTTTTAATTACCTCCAAAAAAGTAATGTTGCAAATTGAGAAGTTTTATGAAGAAGTTGACCTTAAGAAAGGCTACTCGCATTATCCTGTTCAATTCGATATTAATAACAGTTCTTTAGCAGGGGGTAATGAAGAAAAATTAGGTGGTTTTGTGGGGTGCATATACAATATTTGGGTTGATAATACACTAATTGATTTTTCCAAACTTGGAGACGAATATACTTTTGGTGTTATCAAAAAATGCGAGTTAAAAGATCACTGTTTGTTTACACCATGTCAACACGGGGGGATTTGCTCTCAAGACTTTCACACTTATAAATGTGATTGTTCGTTTATTCATTATTATGGAGATAAATGCCAACATTCGATATTTCAACAAGGTTGTCAGGCGTATAAAGACCTTGGGGTAAAAGAAGACTCATATTGTATGATTGATCCAGATGGTGACAAAGGAGCTGTTAAACCTTTTAAGGTTTTATGTAACATGACAAGTGATTCAAAATTAGCCTTTACAATACTTTCACATAAAAAAGAAAACAATGACATACCCATTTATATGGGAGAAAGAGAAGGAAATACTTTAAAAACAGTTTTTGACTACGGATTATCTATTGAAGCAATTGAAGTAATGTTCCGAAGTGCTTCAGCTTGTCAACAATTTATTCAACTAAAATGTCGCAACACTCGTTTATTAAACTCCCCTTCCGGACCGGCAGTAGTCCATTGGGAAGGACGCGAAGGCCTTAAAGAAGATTACTGGGGAGGAGCTCCTCCAGATAGTAGTATGTGTGCTTGTGGGGTAAACCAGACATGTGCAGACGGATTGAAGTTCTGTAACTGCGATATAAGTGACGATATTTGGAGAGAAGATTCAGGTAAACTTTTGCAAACAATAACTTTAAGAAATTGTTTGCTTAATATTTCTTTTGTATAATTCATCTTTCTTAGTTTATAAAAATTAAAGGCTTTCCTTTATAATTATATTGTAAGTTTACATAAACCAGATTAATTTTCAGAATATTAATTTTTAATAGTTATTCAAATTAGATTTATTTTATCCCGCTGTTTTGTTATAGGTTTTATAAATGAGATAGACAGATTACCTATAATGGCAATATACGCCAACATATCTGCTAACAATTCTTATTTGTCAGTTGGCGCACTAAAATGTCACTTTACAAACAATGTAAATGAGTTGGGTTCTTTTAAAGAACGATCATTAGCAGCATGTTTATCAGTTAATGCAAAACCAACAGAGCTTCCTACGCTAAAAATTACCACAGCTAACTTTAATGGAAAACAAGTTGAAGGTTGGCTAAAAACAATTGAGTCAACATCTGCTACCTTAGAAAATTCAATAATTCAAAAAGTTAACTTTAATCTGACTCTTGCAATCCCTTCAAATGATGCTGACAAAGACGGTCTAAAGTTACAGTTAGGTAAATGGGCCATTCTTTCAATTGCAATAATGGTCGTTCTTGTTGCTATTATTATAGGAGTTGTTTGTATTGTAAAACGATGGCAACGTTCCTCAAATCGAACCGAGTTTGATGACGATGATGAATACCAAGTAAGTAATCAAGAAAGAACAGAAATGTGCACATTTTTTGGTGCCGTAGCGCGAAACGAAAGAAATCGGCCTGTAATTGAAGTGCACCGTCATTCTATTCATTTTGATACTTTTGATGAACTTCCACCTGCTTACAGAGAATACGGTGATCGCTCATTACAACAACCAATTACAACGCACATAGACTTGAGTTATAAATCACGAAAGTCAGGTTTTTTTTGCTGAATCTTTTCATTTTTTAGCGGTTTGGAAAGTTTTAGTATAAAATTCAATGTAAACTGAGCAATGTAAAGAATTGTCTCAAGTTGGCTTTTGTAACAATATCTAACAAGTTGGCTTTTATAACAATATCTAACAAGTTGGCTTTTGTAACTAGCATTGCTCAAACTAAAAAATCGATTTCAAAAAATTCGAAAAAAAAATCGAATGGTTTTTTAGTAACAAAAAAGTTAAGCAAGCTGGTCATATAACGAAGCTTTTAGAACGATAACACAAAAGTTCTGTAGAAATTTATTTTTTTGACAATTAGGAAGTTGAATTTTCTTCCAAAATTCGAAATTGTAAATAATTTTATATTTTTTTGTTACTGTATATGTAGAGTTAAAAAAAATTCTTTCAAAATATATGTGAAATATTCTGTGTAATATTTAATGTATGGTTAACTCCAAATTATTTTGCAAAACATGCATTATTCAGTATAATATTTTTATCTTTTTTAATTATTCTTTGAGAATCTTTTTAATAAAAAATTAAACATAAATTTTATTCATTAAACAAACAAACTTTGTATGCTTATGCTGATGCCTTTTTTTAGTCCTCCTAATACTTATTCCTCCTAATAATTAGTCTTCTAGTACTTGTAATAAAGTAGGGAGATTAGTAATGTGGTGTAAAAACAGTGCGACCTACCTTCACGTGCGTTAGATATTTATAGATATATGTCTGTATGTATGTGTGTTCTATAATATATATATATATATATATATATATATATATATATATATATATATATATATATATATATTGAAACAATTTAAAAAAAAATGTATTCTTCAAAATAGAGTGCTCAATGTTCTTAAAAGAACAGAGCAATTATTAATTTATAATTTATATATATATATATATATATATATATATATATATATATATATATATATATATATATATATATATATATATATATATATTTTTTCTTAATCATAAGATAATAATTTATAATTTAATTCATTATGTGCTGAATATGGTTAAAATTAAATTGGTCAAAATAAATAAAAAATACTAGGGTTACCGTTGAGATGTTGCCATTTTTGTTTTTATTTGTCTTGAGCAATATATCAACATCTTATATTATTACGCATAACATACAACACCCCTTTGTAGATGATGGCCAGCGTTTGTGGTGTATCGTGGAATAATCTTTGAAAAGTAAAGAGTTATTAATGAATAGGTCATTGGGTGGTGATTTTCGTTCATGATATCCCTAATAATGTTAGGAGAACTTTAAATTGCTCGATAGAAAGACGAAATATGGAGAAACAAACATTTTAAACAAATTGTTGAAGAAAGGTTTCAAGTTAAATATTAACTAAATCAATTAATAATTTTTTTTCTTTCACTTTTCTAAATGTTAATTAAATAGGTGTATAAGAATAAATGTCAAATGATATTAATAACGTGTGGTTTTCGAGTTAAAATGAAATGTCAAATAAAGTGATAATATTAGTTATGTGTGGTTTTCGAGTTACAAAATTAATTTTCAATGTTTTTTTTTTTTGTTTTTTGCTATATATATTAGTTTTGTTTTTTATAAAATTATTTGGTGTTCAAGATAGGTAACTTCCAGATTTGGCGCTTTAAATTTTATAATAATGATACTGGTATGGAACAAGAATATCTTACAAAATTATAGTGATAGGAGCCTGGGAACAATATGCACCTGAAAAATCGAAACCCATCGCAAAGTGGGGCATAATTGCTTCAAAACTGGACATTAGATGAAAATGAAATAAGGCGTGATGAAACATTTTTTGGTAATAATGTATAAAAGAGTCTCTGGTCCATCTTTCCACGTGTTTTATTAGGGTATTTTTTTTTTCAGGTATTCTTCAATTTTAAGTTGCCAACCAGGTCATGAACGTTTGACATTTGAACTAATGACTTTTTTTTTTTTTTTTTTTTTTTTGTAAGATTTGTTTTGAGCAATTGTAAGATTTTGTAAGATTTGCTTTAAGAATTTATTTTAGCAAATAGATTAAAATACGTTTTAATATTGTTTATTGATGCAAGCTTTTGATTTTTTTCATTTTTCTTTTATCACTTACCGTTTTTTTTAAAAACTCTATTCGAAAATACATTAAAAACGTCTGACAATTATAAATAAATGTCTAAAAATCTAAGGAGTAATTTTCCATGTCTAACAAGTGCCCTAAAAATAATTATTTAACTTAAAAATACAAAACAAAAAAAAATTACTTTTATCCAGTTTTAAAACTCTTTACTATATAACCCCACTGTGCACGGTCCCAAATGTAAAAGAAAAAAAAAAATTTTACTTGCATTATTATTAACTTGATCGGAAAAATGAATTTATCTAATAAAAAATGTTTATCGTTTAAAAATACCAACCAAAGAAAATTTAAAACTCTCTCTCTTTTTGAGGGGTTTTCAGCTTTACGAGTTAAAATATTTTTTTAATAAAGAGAATTTTAAAGATGAATTTTAGTCGAGTTCACAATGGTAGAGTTTTATTTTAAAATGGTATTATTGCCTCCTTCCCCAACAAATAAATGGGGTCTTTTAACACGGAGCCCTAATTTGAGGATAGTATAGTCCCTGAACTCTGATCACCGTGTTTTGTTTAACATATTTGTATTAGTGTGAAAATAAAATGCGTTGGTTACTTTTCTTAAAAAATAAAAAATTTTATTTTTTAGTATATATTCAATTGTTTTTCAATTAGAGAATATATTAGTTGATGTAGGGGATTAACCGTCTGGTCAGTAATCGAGTACCCGGGTATTCATTTCAGTTTCCAATGTAGAATTTATTGACATCCCCTTCAAATTTTTTTATGACTGCTCGGATCCCCAAAGTTTACATAGTTTTATAACAAATTTTTGTTAAAATATTCCCAAATCACTCATTCAATAGCAGTAATTAGCTATCAAGCTTGATACCTCCTCCGATCAATAACCGGGTACCCAGGTACTTACTTAATATATATGAAAGCTGGATTATACACAATAATAAGATTGTATGTTTTCAGTTATTATAATTTATATTTTTAAGCACAACACAAAGGTAATCATTATTTCACACACTCCTCGCATGTTGTGGTGGAAATACATCTCTCGTCACAAATTGGAACCTCGCATATCGAACATGATTTTCGAGTTTTGCGACGATTTTTTAATTCGCTGGTGAGACAAACATGACATACCCAGGGCCGGCGCGAGTATGTGTCACGTAAGGGGGTGCCATTACAACTTTTGCCGACTAAAAAAAAAAAAAAAAAGGTCCTCGACTTACAAAATTTGCCGACTGTCATGACGACATTTACCGCCTCGAAATATTGAAAGGGCCGACATTTGCCGACTAACTAGTCTAAAACGGTCCAATTTGCCGACTAAGGGTCCAATTTGCCGACTAAGGGTCCAGTTTGCCGGCTAAAAATCATTGATGGGTGTGTGTGTGACACCCCCCTATTGCGCCTTTCTTGGACATACCCCAGTAATCTTTTTCCTTCCAGTTGAATCAAGTTGTGCTTTGGGTCTTGAAGATTTATTTGCTGTTGGCTGAATATATAGATTTATAGCTCGACCAAAAAAACTTTCAATTTTGACTTTTGTTGTGAAATGCCTCATGATTTGAGGATTATGCGAACGGCTTTCGACGAATGGAGTACACAACTTTCTGTCCAATTGCCGATAAAATAATCGTCATTCGTATGACTTTTTTAAAGCAGTTTATTATTTTCGAAATAAAGAATATATGCTGCAAGACAGGTGACATCGAGAATATTGTAGAAAAATGCAAGAGGCCATCTTTGAGTTGATCTTTTAGTAGTATATCTACTAAGCATTTTATCCATTGTGTCAACACCAGCTTTTGACCAGTTATAAAACTCAATAATTTCTGGTTTTTTCTTTGCACCAACTGCAATTTTTGCTTCTTTGTGCATTGATGATAGCATAATAACTGCTCTTTTTTTTTGGCACATAGCTGCACATGGTTACTTTTTCATGAAAACCAAGGATAATAAAGATTTTGCCAATGGCAGAGTAGTAAAGTAATTATCCATTGTAATATTTCTACCAGATCCTTTGTATTGTGCTACCAGGTCTTTGACAACTCTCTCACCAACATTTTTTTCATGGCCGGCACTCGATTTTCCAGTGTAGATCTGTCCAGTCAGAGGATACGAGTTTTCTGCATCACATATCCACCATACTTTGATTCCATACTTGGCTGGTTTTGATGGAATATACTGAGTGAACTTAGTTCAACCTTCGTAGGGATAAAGTTGTTCGTCGATGGTCAAGTGCTCTGTTGGCTTATAATGTTTTGCTAAATTATTGTTAAGCATTCTCCAAATGTCTCTTATTGGAGCAGCTTTATCCATTTCCATGCGTTTAGCACGAGTATTGGCATCATCAAATCGAATAAAGCGAATGATACTCCAGAAGCGACTGATGCCCATTATTGCACGATACAATGGATAAGAGTACGACTGCCACATATCCTTTGTATTGTCCGTATTTGAATTATTGGCACCAGAGGTTATCAAAATAGCCAAAAATGCATACAATTCCTGAAGTTCTAGATTTTTCCATGCTAGTTGTTTTTTCCCTGGATTTTTTTCATTATATGTTGCATATGTTAAGTTTGCTTTTTTATTTGTATGGCGTATAATGATATCAGCCATTTCAGGAGTGAAAAATAATTTGAATGTGTCAAGAATTGTCAGCATGTAAGTGTTCCTACTAGGTCCACATCTCTGCCGCACAATATTACGCCTTGCAACTTGATGTTCAATTGTTGGTGGATCAGCCCACTTAGTACCATCTTTTGCTGTCATGACTGGTCCACTAACTGGCGTTTAAATTTTACTTTCTTCGTCATTGTCATCATCATCTTCTTTTTCACTTTCTAGAAATTATTTTATAATTATTATTACTATGCAATAATAATTATAAAATATAAAACATATTTTATAATTATTATTGCATAGTAGAAAATAGAAATTACCAGTATCATCCAAATCCGAAGCAACCACTTCATTTTCTGGAAAATACTCATCGTCGTCACTATCCAACACGAGGCCATTATCAGATTCTTCTTCTTCAAATAATTCAAATATATTCCTATTGGAAAATGTTTTCAGTTAATTAATTAATTTTTTAATTAAAAATATAAATAATTTACCCAAAAGTAAAACAAAGAAATTACGTTTTACCGTCGAAAACCTGATGGATGCATAGTATTTCCATGATCCAATTCACCTTCCATTGTAATATCCATCATTTAATACAATGTTTTATTTATAATATTATTAATTTCTAACAAAGAAAACAAAATTTCTCACTTTCACAATAAATTTTGTACATTATAGTTTTGTTCTTTTCACTTTGTGTGGGTACCCGGG